GGGATATAAATATCATTAACAGTGTAACTCAGGAAATTTTCGGGCCATTTTGAGTGGATATTTGTTAATGACACTATTTGTGAAATTCAAGCAGGCGTTATTTTAGTGAGAAGTTGGATTTTGGGTTGTGTAAGTTGAGTGGCCATAAGTAGTATTTATATGTCAATTAAAAACAAAACAAAACTGTTGTTATGTTGAATCTTTGCATTCAGGGAGAAAACGCCGTCCGAAGAGTCTCGGCGGCATTATTTCAGGGACGCATTGAAAAATTCAGGAAGATCTACTGAACAACGCGCTAAGAAAAGTAAGAGAATATAATCATTAAACTCGGAAACGACAAGCTTAACCGTTATCGACAGCATAGCCGTGCGAAACGTCTTTTTTTAACAGCTTTATTGGGCATGACTCATATAACAATACTATTACAATATACGATAGAAATCGAAAACGCAAGATACAGCAAGAATAATTACTGAGAGAGCAACGCAGAAAAAAAGGTCGTGGACCCAATAGGCCTTGTGCGAACAGGACATAAGGACCCGTACGATGCACCGCCCGTGGGATAAAAAAAGAACAGTGTTAAATATTTAAGAGGAAACAATAGAAACTACGGGTGAGAAGGGCAGGATCGCACTATTGTCCAATTACCTCATGGTTATGAAAAGTACTTAGTCTGGTTCGGCTATGAGAAACAAAGCGAACAAAATCATGAAAATTGAGATCGGTAGATCCATCCAGACAGTTGAAAAAGACAACGAGGTCTTTGAGTTCACGGTCAGAGGTTCCCCGTATGACGTCTCACTATTATATATGTTGTTTAAAGATTCACTTTCTGGCCCTCCTTTACACTATTTCAATTGAGTTTTGAGATATATCTGGTCTGGGGACGAAACTTGGGAGGCGTAGGACAACTGAGATTTCATAAGTGTCATATAGAATGATCACCTAACTGAGACATCAGCTAGCAGCAAGCATGTGCGCTTCAATAACCCAAGGAGCTTGTTGGCTTTAGCGATAATTGCTTGAATGTGTGGTCCAGGTGAGGGAGCTGGTGACTTTAACCCCAACGTCTTTCTCAGTGGACACACACTCAAGCTCTTCATTGTGAAGCTTATAACGGAAGATCGGCGGGCTCTTTTTTGCGGGTAACGGTTAACACCTTACACTTTAAGGCATCAAAGCGGATGTTTTTATGCCGAGTCCACTCATATATGTAGGTTGAGGTGTTCTGCATAGACATGCACTCTACGAGGGTCTTGATTTTGCGTTATAGTTTGGTGTCGTCAGCATATAGGGAAGTCAAAACATCGCCTATCGCTACATTTGGGAGGTCATCGATAAAGAGGTGACAGGGACCCATTGCGTAGTTGCGCCATCAATAACAACTTGTTGGACCCGCCCAGTAAAGGAGTCAGCAAACTGGGATAGCAACTGTCCTGACACCTTATATGACCTTAACTTGGAAAGGAAAACGCGGTGGTCGTCTGGGTGTTTTTGTCAAGGTTTTGTCCGATAGTATGTAGTACAGATAATAACTGAGTGACAACTGAGCGATTCCTTAATAAGAACCAGTGTTGTAAAGGAGTGACTTAATCATTAACGTGCTCAAACAAACGACTAAATATGCAGCCTTCTAAGACTTTGCTAACAATCAGGAGAAGCAATCTCCACTAATTTCATTCAAACGTGACAAAAACATAGGCAACATTTTGGTCAGAAGTTCATTTCAAACGATGCAAAACTTGTCCTTTCATTCATAATGTAAAGAAAATTTCGGGACCCAAGAGATCCACCAAGATCACTGATCACTTTACGTGCATCTCCGCCAATATCATCTACGGTATAACTTGCAATAGTTTCCTTTCCGTTGAGTAACTTCCCTCAGAAGCCTACTTCCTGTTATTTCTTCCTCCGTGTGCTTGCAGAGTTCCTTTACGTACGCAATTGTTCTTTTAATTTTTGCACTGCGCCGAGCGATTATTCGAGGAAATACGGATGTTGATTTATGCATTTTTTCAAAGCTGTTAATTGGTGGAGCAGGTTAAAAAGAACAATGGCTGTCAAAGGTGAGAATATATTATAAGTTAATAATTTGAAACACCACGGTCAAGACTATGGCAACCGCTTGCCCAACAATCGTTCCAGAAAGAAACAGTGTCAATTTCTCGCTAAATTAGATTTCTAACGGCAATATGGTATGAATTGCTTGGTGGCAGGATGTTTTCTCTGCTTAGTCGAGGATATGGCACATATGATGGTAAAGCTAAAAAAGACACTCAAGAAACCCGGGAACACAAGGTAAACCTTTCAGTCACTGATCATTTGCAGTTTGTGTTGTTCCATCGCGCAGGCTGCCGCATCGTTTTAATACGGGGCCTCAAATGTGTTTTATGTTTTTATTTTATAGTTGATAACACATCATTAACTTTTTAATTGTTTGGCCTAAAAACTCGTAGTTATAATCCAGCTCTCAAGCGTGAAAGCTAGGCCATCTTTTTCCGCATTTTGATCAGCAAACTAATCCCTCCAGCTAGTGTCGCTCAATTAATATTGATCGAACAAAGTTAGGCTGAGTGTGATATTCAGCTAAAACTTAATCACGATGTTAACATTTCTGGCTCTTGGAGTCACTATTGGCAAGCTTGTTTTATTTTTTTCTGATTCACCCCGAAGAAAGTTGTCTGAACTACAGAATAGAAGAAATCTCACTGACACCCAAAGCTGTTGTTTTTGTTGACACCTTACCCACAACAAATCACTCGATGTCTGATTCCACTCGTGCTTGGGATTCTGCAGGGTTAAATGTACAGGCGCCGAAAATATGTGTTCTGCAGAAGAGTAACATGGTAGGCTCATATACTGAGTCAGAGTGCGTAAGAAAGATGATTGAGACAGGGGCGATGAAATTTCTTGCTAGCGTGAACATTTTGGTCAGAAGTAAATGTGTCTTCGACAAAAGCATTTAATGTTGGTGCTTTGTGCACCAATATTAAATGCATTTGTCAATTACAGTGATATAATTCACGAAATCAATTCAATCAATTTAGTATAATTCCTACCATTTTGAAAATTATGTGCTTAGATGTATGGAAAGACTATACTGACATTTATCCCTTTCACCACTAAGCATGCATTCATTTTACATTTACAGTACACCCTGGGTGATTGTTAAATCTATTACATTCATTTTAAATCACTGGTGATCTTTGCAATCTGATTGGTACTTATTGATGCAATTCTTTTCACAATTTGTATCTTTTTTCCCTGCCTATATGACAGCTTTACTTAAACACAACAACCAATCAAATTTCAAGGCTTGTTTAAAGAGAGTGATCCAAAGTACTACGTTTCCAACTTTTTACAAACCAGCTCATGCCTGATCAATACTGGATCAATAAAATATTTGTACAGACTTAAGAAAAAAACTTTATTGTGAGGGATTTCAAAATAAATGTAATAAAGTGGTAACTGAACTTTGCATCATGCAATTTTGGTCTAAAATCTTACTTGTAATTTCAAATCTAATCAAATACAGAGCAGCTCAATACTGGATCAATAAAATATTTGTACAGACTTTAAAAAAATGTATTTTGAGTGATTTAAAAATAGATGTAATAAAGTGGTAATTGATCTTACTTGTGATTTCAAATCTAATCAAAACTATAGCAAAATTCTCGAACCTTATTGGTTATCACCAGCTTCTTTTGAGGACTAACAAGACAGTACACAGGTCATGCTTGTGACTGGATAATGTAATAAGAAAGGTATTACATCATGTTTGTGTAATTGGAAAGTGCACATCATTTGCATGCCCTGTTGTGGCACATTTTGCAGAGTTAGCTGTTGTTTTGCTTATGAAAACATTCAACTGATGTCTAGTTTTATTTCTCAAATTTTGTCATAGTTTTGATTAATTGGTAACAGGACCTTGTATCATCCTATTCCTGGCTGTAATCAAACTTGGGATTAATGATTTCAAGCCCTGAGAAAAGCCATAACAACACATGAAAAAATATAATTATTTTTCACGTTTTCACACCACTCAGTCGTGTGGATGAATGAATGGCAAATCAAGCCTTACAATTCTCTATCCAATTTTCATGGATATTGTCAACTAAAACACTGAAAAATTGGTATCGCTCATTGACAGTGATGTTTAAAATTTCCATGAAGGGAAGGAAAACCAAAATACACAAAGAAAAACCAAAAGCTTCGTACTCAGTGGCTCAGTGGTAATGGCATTCCTGTAGTAGTGATCACTTGTAGATATGGAATTTCTCTTCTTGTGTTCAACTAGATATCTCACTTGTTTGCTGTGCTCACTCCTGAGTTATAGAGTAGAACACTTGAAGAGAAATTCCATATCTAAGGACACCATGTATTATTCCCTATATCTCACCTCCTTGCTGCACTCACTCATGAAATATCCAGTTAAACACTTGAAGATAAATTCCATACCTACACACGCCATGTTCAATTCTCTATTTCGTATCTACAGGGTGTAGGCTTATTTGAGGTGAGCACTTATTTGAGGTTGGACACTTAATCAAATAAATAGAGGAAATAATAAAATCATAACTTTGATTCAATTCATCATGTCACTTTCTCTTGCACACTATTATAAATGGTTGCTTATCCTACTTGTTGGACATCAAATTGTACTGTGATTTTATTTACAGTAAAAGATTTTTGGATTAACATGGAGTTTAGATAAATGTTACAAAGCAAAATAAGTAAACTATCAAAGCTGTTGACAAATCTGCAGTTTTTCTTGACTGTAATTATTCTATTAAGGCAAGTTCTCTCTGTTTGGATCCAATCAAGTCAAAGTCAAGAAACTATACGGAAGACTTTCAGGCTAAAAATGAACCACACAATGTTTTCTTTTGTGGTT